GGGCTTTTATTTTTTTCTTTTGTAATTGTGTAAAAAAATTTTAAAAATTAAAAAGCAGAATTTTAATGTGAAACCTTTTTTTGCTATAATCATTAGTCTTAGAGGCATTGTTAGCGTAGTGTGTGTGCAAGACCATTTCCTGCAGCCTTTCCTCAACAAGTATCTTCTATTTTTATCATGAATTCCCTTTTAATCAACTGTAGGTTATTTAAAATAAATTCCTACAACTTAACTGAGTGTTGGTGTCTCTGTGTTCTTTCACCTCTGGTCCTGGATGTGAGGCCCCTGTGGTTATTGGGCTGGGGGTGCAATTCCTGTTCCCAGCCCCAGCAGGAATTCCCTGAAGGATGTGCCCATCCCTGCCTTGCTGTGGTTGTGCTGCACCCTCTGTGTTGCCCACTGTGCTTTTCCATGCAGGCACAGCTCACAGTTTGCTTTGTCCTGGGAAAAGCCCTGCCCAGGAGAGCAGAGAGCAGGAGCAGGGCATGCAGTGACCCCAGAGCTGCTCGTCCTGGTTTCTCTGCTGCCTTTTACTCAGCCCCTGCCCTCTGCACAGAGCAGGATGGAGGGAGAGCAGCTCCTAACCCTTCATGGCTGGGAAGGGCAGGAGGCTGGGCAAGGACAGGTGATGACAAGGGCAGGGGTGATGATGCCAAAGGTGAAGGCAAGGACAGGTGATGAGGCTGATGGATGCATTCTCCTCCCTGGCAGTGGGAGCAGCCCTGGCCTGGTGTCCTTGGGCGTTGTGGAGCAGACACAGCCCTGGCTCCTCTGCAAGCACCTCCCTGTGACCCCAGAGCTGGGGAGGGCTCCCAGACCCCCAGGGGTGGCTGTGGGGTCAGGCTCAGCCAGCCCTGAGCAGGGCTTCCTGCTGCTCACTGCGATCTTCCAGGCACTTTGTTGTGGCTGCACAAACTTGGAGTTTGGCAGGAGCTGCTGTTTGCTCTCTGGGGCCTTTCCAAGGTGCAATGGTGAAAATGCCAGCAGAGAGGGAAAGGGGCTCATTGTGCTCCCAGCCTGCCCGTGCCTGAACAATGCAGCCTGTAAAAATATCATTTCTATTTATACAGCCCTCCTTCCTGCCTGCAGACCTGGCCCAATTATCCCCTATCTTACAAATTCCAGTATCTTACACCACTGAACAGGGAATTGTGGAATGCAGTGGGAAGGGATGTTCTCTCACACAGGGGTTCCCCCACCCCAGCATTGCTGCTGGCAGATCCACCTTCTCCCTGGGCATGGTGGGGTGCTCTGGCCAGGCTGGGAGATCTGGGTCTGCCTGGAAGTGTAAGGCCAGGCTGATGTCCAAGGCTGGAGCGTGTTGTGCCTCTCTGTCAGCAAGGAGGAGAAGGATGTTGGTGCAAAACTCACCTTTGAAAATGTACCCAGCTCCCTCCCAGCTCTGGGGAGCACAGGCTCTGTTCTGGGCAGGGGGCTGAGGAGGGTTTAATCGGTGGTTTTGCCTGTGGCACAGCAGGGTGAGGACCACACACCCCACGCTTTCCATGGAGAATTCCCAGACCCCACTGAGTCACTGTGCAAACAGAGAAATGGCCACAAACGTGCCACATCCTGTCTTGCATCCCTCCGCTGCTGCAGCGCCTGTGCTCGCCTGCCCCAGTGCCACCACCCCCGCAGCAGGGCCTGTGTGTGGCAGCCAGGGAAACTGAGGCAGCAGGGAGGTAGGTGGAGAGGGCACAACCGTAGCTTTGAACTGCATCTCGTGCAGCACAAACGCATGGATAGGACCGGGCGGCCAAGGGGAGGTGCAAAACCCTGCAGGATGCAGCCCCATCCCCCTTGAAGTCTTAAGGATTCCAGGGTTGAAAATTGAAACCAGGTGAATGCGATATTAAAAAAGCGTGTTCTCCCTTGTGCAGCACTGGGGAGCGGGGACAGGGAGCCCGGAGCTGCAGCGGGTTTCTCACCGGCTGCTGGTGGTTACCCAGAGGGAGCAAAGCAGCGCCTGCAAGGGGCAGGGGCAGTGCGGGAGGCAGCCTGCGGGCACGGCTGTGCCCGGCCCCGCGCCTGCATCCGCAGCGGCTGCACAGCCGCGGGCGGCTCCGCTCCCCATCCCGGCACAGCGCTGCGCTGGCTCTGCCAGCACCGGCCCGGGCAGCTCCGCACCGCCTGCCCCAGGGCTCTCCACATCCTGCTCCCCGCAGCACCACGGAAGCTCTTCCCCCGTGGTGATTTGCTCAGCTGGTGTTGTCTTTACCCAGCGCAGAGCAGGCAGGAATGAATAAATAACCCCGAGAGAGGCATCTCTCCCAGGGACTGCAGCGCTTTGGTTGAGAGGCCGGCACCTCCTCTCAGCGCGTAGTCCCGGGGCAGGAGGGGGATGCATCCCTTCCCCGACACTGGTCAGAGGGATGCTGGGCTGCAGGGACCCCCCGCACCTGGCAATGCAGTGGGCTCAGAGCGCTGTGTCCCTGCATTTTGCTCCCCAGGCCCTGAGCACGCCTAAAGCCAGAGGTCACCTGGCCATTGGCCTGTTCCCGGTGGGAGGATGCAGCTGCTCCACGAATCCTGCAGGATATGGGGGATGGCATCCCGTGCTTCGGAACTCTGAAGGGGGAAGTGCTGGGGCCACTCCGAGGGGAAAATCCCCCTTTTCCCTGAGGTGTTTGCAAGGGGAGATTGCAGAACCCGCAGGCTTCCACAGCCATGTGATGAGCACAGTCCAGGGAATTTCTTCAAAAGCAAAACAGGAATATAATGGACGTTTTTGCTGCCCTGAGGGGTGGGGGTGATTGTTCAGAGCCTGGCTGGTACAGAAGCTGGGACCACCAAATGGGGCTGTCAGGCAGCAGGCACACAAAGGCTGTCAAATTTCCTATGCTGTCCAATTAAACAGCAGAATTCCTTGGCACGCAGCATCTTAGACACAGAGAGCTAATGCAAAGCTAAAAAATGATCACTCAAACTCAGAAAATAAAAAAATATACATTGCAAACAGCTCATTGCAAACCACATCCTCCACGTGCTGGCCTCAGCCGCCCGCGCTCCAAGCTGAGGACACACCTTGCCAGGTGCTCTCCATCAGCAGGAACAGGCAGTGTTTGGGAACAAGGGAGTTACCTTTTCTGCTTCTTCCATGGCCACACTCCCTTCTCAGGTTTTGCCCTCAAAAACAAGGGTGTGCCCATAATGCTCAGCTATTTTAAGACCACTGGGAGCCGGCTGCTTCCTGCCGGTCCCAAGCGAGGCCATTACACGAGGCAGGAGCCACCTCCCCGGCGGCCACAGCAGCTCACCCCGGAGAGAATGAGGCCCAGAGGGCTGTGCCAGCACCAAGCACAGCCTCCAGTAGCTCTGGCTCGGCTGAGCACATCCCCAGCATCCTTACTATTTCTATCAGGGCAGCTTTAGGCTCTCATCTCGCCTGTTTTTTACACCAGGTAGGATCCTAAACGACTTTATAGGGTTCCTGCTGTGTGTGCAGGTGTGTGCTGGGGAATGTCCCTGTGGAGGCAGGTGGAGCATAGGACAGAGAGAGCTGCTCACATGTGGGATCCACTCGGAGATGGGCCCCTCACTTAGAAGATGATGCCCCTCCCAGTCCCAGCTGTGAGCTGGAGGGGGTGAGATAAGGGCTGCTGAGCACAGGCTGCCTACGGACACATGTGTGTATTCACAGAATCATGAATTTGGAAAAAAGAAAAAAATAATTTTAAATGTATAAATTAAATATTTATACATTGATACATATAAGTGGGACAGCCTGAGCACCCAGTGCGCCATGGGGTGCCCTGATGGAAAGAAGGGCGTGGGGAAGAAGGTCAGTGGCACACAGAAAGGGAAATCACAGGCTTTAACCACATGAATGGAGCAAGCTGCATTGAAACGCTCCCAATTCAGCCACTTATCCGCTCGCTAACCCTGTGTGGTCTCTAACCCTGTTTTTTTGTGGGGCCAGAGAGCAGCTGGAGAGTGCCCAGTGACCCCCGGCTCCCTGCAGGTCGCCCAGGGGCAGGATGCCACAGGCCACCCTGCAAGCTTTGTCCTGCTTTCCGTGCCATGGATCCGGCTGGGATCTGTGTGGAGGAAACGACAGCAAATGCGGACCTGCCTTCATCAAGAGCCCACACCATGGTGCCAGCGGCAGCCATGCGGAGGGGTCTGTCCCCAGGAAAAGCCACCGTGGGATGCAATGTGGGGACCCCACATGTGCCACGCCAGGATCCCACGCAAACCCTGATGTGGGTGCCAGAGCCCTAAGGTATCCTGTGGGGTATGTGACCCACGGGGGACCTGCGGGGTGCAGGGTGGGGTGTGTAACCCATGGGCGACCTGCGGGGTGTAGGGTGGCCCCGCACCGTGCCGTGGGGTGCAGAGTCCCCGTTCCCCAAGGTGTGCCATGGGGTGCAGAGTCCCCGTTCCCCAAGGTGTGCCGTGGGGTGCAGAGTCCCCCGGTCCCCCAGGCGTGCAGTGGTGCGGAGGGTGGCGCGGTTCCCAGGCGTGCTGGGTGGTCTGTGGCACGGCCATCCCGCACCACGCATGGGGTCCCGCTGCCCCGCTGGGCGGGGATGCTCCGGCCCCCGAGCCCCTGGGCGGGCAGCATCGGGTCCGTGTTCCCCCGAGCCCCAGCACCGGGTGCGTGTCCCCCCCCGAGCCCCAGCACCGGGTCCGTGTCCCCCCCGAGCCCCAGCACCGGGTCCGTGTCCCCCCCGAGCCCCAGCACCGGGTCCGCGTCCCCCTGAGCCCCAGCACCGGTGCGTGTCCCCCCCCGAGCCCCAGCACCGGGTGCGTGTCCCCCCCCGAGCCCCAGCAGCGGTGCGGGTCCCCCCCGCGGACCCCCCGCGCTGCGCTGCGCGCCCGCCCCCCGTGCCGGCAGCGCTGCGCTCCGCCCCTTCCCCTCCCTCCTCCCTCCTCCTTCCTCGCTCCTCCTCCTCCTCCCTCTCCTCCTCCTCCTCCCCCTGCTCGGCTCCCCTCCCGCGGCGGCGGCGCGGGGCGCGGCGGGGCTCGGGCGCTCCCGCTCCCCTTTGTTCGCCGCGCCGATGGCGGCCGGGCCGGGCGCCGGCCCCGGGGCGCCCAGCGAGGCGGAGGCGGCGCAGCTCTGCCGCAGCCTGGAGGTGGGCACCGTCATGACCCTCTTCTACTCCAAAAAGTCGCAGCGACCCGAGCGGAAAACTTTCCAGGTGAAGCTGGAGACGCGGCAGGTCACCTGGAGCCGCGGCTCCGAGAAGGTCGAGGGCGCCGGTGAGTGCGGCGGGAAGGGGCGCGGAGGGGCTGCGCTGCCCCGGGCGGGGCGGCGGGGCCGGAGCCCTCCGGGAGCCGCCGTTCGGGGAGCGCCGGGGCTCGCTGGCGAGGAGAAGAGGAAGAAAATGAAAAATAATGAACCCCCGGGCTCGCCGTGCCCGGCGTGTCCCCCCGGGCAGCCGCGGGGGCGGAGAGGGGTCCGGGTCCCAGCGCGGGGCCGCTCTGCGCTCGGGGGATGCGCGGGGGATGCGCGGGCCGGTACCGCCGCTGCCCCCGCCCAGCGCCGCCTCCCAACTTTCCGCATCCCTGCTCGGCACCAAACTTCCCCTGGGATAAACGAGGTGTTTTCCCTGGTGGTGCCTTGGCGAGCAGCACCTAAGGGCTGTAGGGAGCCTCAGAAGGCGGCAGGGTTAGTGTGAGCCCTTTTGCGGTTGCACCTCGGAGCAACAGATGAGAGCAAACGGAAAAGGTTAAGCAGTAGGAAAACCAGCCCAAAATATTGTGCTGTGGTTCCGTTCTCTTCCCCGTTGCCCTGTGAGGGTGATGGCACAGGGTCAGGTGAGCGCCCGCTTCCTGTGCTGGATGGGGACGAGGAGCACAGAGGAAAGGATGCGTAAGAAACCTGAGTGCAAAACCAGGTTTCTTATGCATGGGCGTAAGGTGGGAAGGGGGTGAGATCTGGCATGCTCTGCACTCTTAAACTTGGTGTTGGTTTCCCAGGTTTTCTTAAATTATCCTTCCTGCCTCCATGTGCACCAGCACGAGGACAGGGTCTCTGCTCTGTGTGGGACATGAGGAAGAGGGGATGTGCACGAAGGCCAGGAGGTGGGAGAGGTGGTGCTGCCCGTGGCACTGGCCTTCCCCATGCTGGGGATGTCACTGAGGCCCAGCAAGGCCAGGGAGGGGTTGTCATCCCTCCTGGCAAGTGCTGCTGGTCCAGGATGGAAAGGTGGGATGCTGTTAGTACCAGGGGCTTACATGAGGAAAGGACATGGAGATGGTGGCCACCTCTCTGTGGCAGGTCCACAAAATGCCAGTTTGGGGCTTTGGTTTGCCCTGAGAACCTCCGAGTCCTCTACCTTCTGCCCTGTGGTGTGTGCAGGCAGATCTGGAGGGAGCCTTTAGCATCATGAGGATGTGGAGCTCCCCCATCTCTTTCCCAGAATGGCCTCTGGGAGCAGTGAGGCAGTGTGAGAGGGAGGAGAGCAGCATTCTGTTGACCCTGGGCTTAAGTTGTTCTTAAACTCAGGCTGAGCAAACGTTGGTTTTGCTGGGGAGATTCTGGTCTGAGACAGAGCCCACAGCCCACGTGTGCCCACGGGGGACAGAGGTCCCCACTGGTGTCTGCAGGGGTGATTGTTCCTGGGGACAGGCCTGGGTGTGTTCCTGCCACCTTTGGGGGAAATCTAGAGAACTTCAGCTTCTGTAACTGTGGGCCTGACAATGATAAAGCCATGGCTGCAGGGAGTTCTTGTGCTGTGCAGACATCCAAGAGCAGAGTGTCCCAGGGACTGAGATGATTGTGTTTCTTTTAATGTCACAGAGGAAAATTCCTTGGGGCTTCTCTACTGTGCCACAGGCAAGGTGTCTGGCTGGTGGCTTTGGGTTCCCCACGTGTGCCTCCCAATGCTCCTGGTGTCCCCACACTATGTGTGCCCCTCCCAGGGGGCCAGGTGGGCCTTGCTGGACACAGAGGACATCAGGCTGAAGAGCTGCTGTATCTCCAGCCCCCTCTCTCTGATGCTTCCCCCATGGCATCCTCTCTCACCAGAGCAACTCACCCTGTCCTCAGTCCCCTGCTCTGGTGTCACCCAGCACCCTGAGCTTGCAGGGCTGGGGAGCAGAGCTTTGCTTTAACACTTCCTGGGCAGAGCTGTGGGGCTCCAGCTGGAAGTGCCAGCCTGTGTACACAAATAGTGCCTGGGTTTCTAGGCAGGCCAGGCAAACCATGGGATCGATGGCCAGCAGTACTGGGTTCTTGGCCAGCTTCCCTATTTTTATCTGGATGTGCTTTCTGGGCAGAAAGAGGATGCCTGGGAGAAGCCAGGTGTGTGACAGCTCCACTTCATGTGGCAAATACACCAAGGAATTCCCCTCCTGGCTCATCCCCTTGAGGTCAACATGGCCATGGTGGGAACCAGGGGGTGAAGTAATCTGGAGCTGAGCTCATCACTTTCAGTGCAGGGTAGTGTCAGCCATGGATCCAGTTCTCCCCAGGAAGACAAGCCATTCCAGCACAGACAACAGTAAGCTGGGTTTTGCTTTTGGTGGTGGTTCTGGTTTGGCCCCAGCTTGCACCATGAGGGAGTGGCAGCTGTCAGGAGGTGAGATGTTCCTTCCCATGCAACAGCATCTGCACCAAACGGTGTCTGGGGACTGGGAGGGCAAAGATTGCTGTGTTCATGGGTCTGTAATGGATGTTCTTGTGTTTCTTGAGAGATGGAGACCACCAGGGAGTTCTAGACCACCCTGGATACACGTTAATTGTCTCAAGTAGGAATGATTTTGGGTTTTTATCCATTTCAGAGCAGGTGAACATCCACAGGAAGAATGCAAGACCCTTTTTTGTTAAAAATAAAGAATCAGTTAACACAGGAAGTTTAAAAGAAAATAAATGCATAAAAGACAACATATGGAGGTTTTGGGCCTGTGTGGATGGCCATGTCTTGGAGAGGTCTGTCTCCATGGACACCAGCTATAGAGAGAGCATCTGTGCTCCTTTCTCTGCTCCTGGTGGGTTGTGCAGAAAGGAGATGTGTATTTGTCCCAGGGAGGGGTGGGTGAGGATGGGGGAACCTGGCTCCATGGCTGACAGTGCTGGGGAGAGCACAGCCCTGTGGCTGCAGCTTGGGAAGCTCCTGGTGCGTGTGGGCAGTGCATGAAGGGACAGAGGTGTGCTGGCTCATCTGCAGGTGGGCTAAAGCTGCAGTGTGCCAGCAGGAGAGGGCTCTGGGCACAGCCTCTGCCACGGTTCCTCAGTTGGTGGTGCTCATTTTGGAGCTTTGCCATCCCTCTCAGAGGTGTTGTGGAGCAGCTGCTGCCCCAGGATCTGTCAGTGCTGAACTCTGCAACAGGCAACCAGTTCTTTGTCTTAAAAACAATGTTTGGGTGGTGCTTGGCTTTCTGTGCACAGCGATGTGGAGTTTAGAGGGGAGCAGAGCCTGAGCAGGTCACCCCACTGCTGGAGAGAGGTCCAGGGAACCCCTGTGCTCTGTGCCTTTGGTGCCTCAGCAGCCTGGTGCTGTGGGTCTGAGTTCCCTCTCCCTGCCATGCTGCTGTGCCACCTTCATTTCAAGTTACTGGAGCCAGCAGGGTCTGACTGGCCTCTGCAAGGAACTTTTGGGATTTAAGGATGAAGGTCTCTCTGTGCTTTAGCATCTCCTAAGAGCAGTGAGGTTGGACCAGGGGGATGCTGGATGAGGAGGAGCCTGTGTAGATGTGGCACCTGGGGCCATGGCTCTGTGGTGGACCTGGCAGAGCTGGCTTGGTGCTTGGGCTGGATGTTCTTAGAGGGCTTTTCCTGCCCTAATGGTTCTGTGAAGGGTTGGATGGCATCACCACCTGTGCTGTAGATGCACAGATAACCAGCTGGCCTCGTTGGCCACCATGAACTGCCCAGCACTGCCTGCCCAGGAGCCAGGAGGTGCTGGGGGACGGAGAGCAGAGAGCCCTTGCTGGTGTGACAGCCCTGTCCTCGTCCCCTGCTTTGTGCCCCTTGTGTAGCGCTTTGTGGCAGTGCATAAAGACCCTGTGTGTGTCCCCTCCGTGGGCAGCTCGGGCTCAGCAGGGCCCCCAGCCAGCTGGGCTGCCACATGAGAGCCTCTTCTCTTGGACAGGACCTGCTCTTCTTGAGCTCCCCTCCCCAGAGTGAGGAGAATCTCCATGAGCTGCGGGCTGGGGGAGCTCCCCTGGGCAGGGAGCCTTTCCCTTCTCCTGTACTTCTTCAAAACTGTGCAAAATGCAACCCTGGTTTGTGCCAAAAAAAAAAAAAAAATTTTTTTTTTTTTTTCAATTAATACTTGTTTTTGTTCACAGGGCTCCAGGCAGGTTTAATTACCAATGCATTGCTTTCTTGCTAATAACTCTGCAGAGGGCCTGGCTGCTACAATAGGAAGAGTGCTAATAATTTTCTATTCTTTTTGTTACGAACCCAGAGCAAAGTAGAGCTAAATCCCTCGAGTCAGTTGTCTTTTATGCATTTATTTTCTTTTAAACTTCCTGTGTTAACTGGTTCTTTATTTTTAATAAAAAAGGGTCTTGCATTCTTACCTTCTCATCTGGGGGGGTTATAGGCCAGTTTCAAATTGAACTGTTTGCCTTGAAACACGTCAGAAAATTCAGAGAGTTTGCTCAGAGAGTGAGCTGAAAATTTGGAGCAGATGTTTGTTTTACAGGGGAGAGAGAGGAGAAAAAAAAACTACCTCACAAAAACCCTGGTTGCATTCTTGCTTTCAGTGAAATGAGCTCAGTCCCTTGGAGGTGGAGAAAAGCCATTGCCTGTGTAAAAGAAAAGAAATGAGCTGTAAAATATTAATGCAAAGTGGCTCTGAAGTGTGGCTCGTACTCGCCTCAGCCGTTTCAAGCACCAGCCCCTTTCATTAGCCCACTGGGGCACAGCTTCTTTAATTATGTTTTTTTGGGGCCATTTGCTTAAACTGAGGAGCTTGGAGCTCTTTAGAAGTGAGTGAGCCAGAAATGGTTCTGAAGGGTAAAATGGCTTCAGAGTGAGCTCCTCTTGGGGTGCAGGATGGCTCCTGCACTGGAGGGTCCCCTCCTGCTCCTCCAGCCATGGATGCAGAGGGCAGGAAAGGCAGGAGGGAGCTGCCCCTGGAGCAGGGGCTGCACAAGGGCTGGGGTGGCCAGGGAGAGCAGCAGAGCAGGGCTTGTGACTCTCAGGATGGTTGGAGCTTCCCCTGCTGATGCTCTGCTGTGGGAGCTTTTGAGGGAAGGTTTTTTGTGTCCCCCTTCCTGCCTGTGAGGGCATTTGTGCTACACACAAA